GCCCTTAGGAATTTCGGTTGGGACCCGATTGCCCTTCTTCCACCCTATAAAAGTAGCTTGCTTCTGTTAACCCTACCGTCACTGGAGAAGCGTAGATTCGTTCTTGGGGTTTCCTTCGTAATCAAATTAATAAATGGTACAATTGACTTGCCCGCATTACTTCGTGAGATAGGCTTTAATGTCCCTAACCGCTTCTCTAGGCATTTTATCTTGGTTAAGCTTAGTCAATGTAAATATAATTATGAGGCGTTTAACCCAAGAATCTACATTATGCTTACCACTTATTCTTATTATCGGACTCTTTAAAGTCTAATAAAGCAAGATTGCTTAATACGCGTAATATAGCTATTTCGTACCTAAACTAGCTCTTAAAATTCTGAAATTATCTTTAGCATGATTTTACTCTAGCAAGAGGCTATTAAAAATCTTTTGGAACGTAATGGTGTAATCGTTACGGTGTCTTGTAAAACACTACCTCCACAGGAAAAACAAATAAAATCATTATAGCCATGTAAGACCGATCATCTTATTGTCCCATTTTAGCGATAGATTAGCAAAAATTGTACGTTTCTTCTTTGTAGAGAGCGTAGCTTTCGTAGAAGATCTTATGTAGGAGGGCTTCAAGAACATGAACTGAAGGTGGAAAATGGGGTTTAGAGAAATCAATTTTTTTGTCAAAGAGCTAATTATTCGTCATAAATTACCAAAAACTAGACTACTGTGCCATCTAAATATATGCCTTTCATGAAAATCCATATGTCCATATATGATGTGGACCAGAAAATAGACTGGAGAAGTGCAATTTTGGTAATATCTGTTTTCGTGTCAACTTTACGTTATGGTCTAATTTTCCTTTTCTAAGCCTATTTTTTGTAAGAACGTTTATGTCGCAGGGGGTTCAAAAAAATTGATCCAAATTTTTCACACCAATTTAGTATTCAGAAATATAAACAATAAAACAACCTCTTCAGAATAAGATGTTATATGTGGAGTGATCGTAAATGGTACTTTCCACCCAGCGTTGATGTACAAACTTTTCGCGATTAGATTCAGAGATTATATGTATTCGTATATTACAATCCAGACCTATGCACTAATTCATCCGATTTTCAATTCAAGAAAACCTACACCAAAAATTTCAAAGAGAAATTCATCCGACTTTCGTTTAAGAAAACCTACACATCCATTCACATATTAACTTGTGCAATACCTCATATGCCGGTTTATAGCTATCGACATCGAGTAAATGCGATTTAAATATGTTACACCACCGATTATTTTCGGCGCTGTCAAATTGTTTTTATTTTTATTTATTTATTCCACTTATACAAGAAACTCAACTAAAACAAATTGGCAGTCGAGTCCAATTGACTCTTACAGTAAATTTTAATTTAATTAATATTAACACTTAGTATTAGTACAATAAAACAAATAAGAAGGAAAAAAATAAGAAGAAAAGCATGTACACAACTAGCCACATTCTCAATCGGTGCAGGACCAAATTGCAAGTGAACCCCTAAGCCGTCGCAAACATGCGTAAGCCTGACAACCGATAATAGTTAGCAACAATTATTTTCGACTCACAATGACTTTTTAAGGTTAAAAGTTAGTTTAAGTAAGACATAGGAAAATCGCGCGTATTAAGCAATGTTGCTTTAATGGACTTTAGAGAGTCCGATAAGGAGAATAAGTGATAGACGTCATTAAGGTTCTTGCAAACTACTCTGAGCGGGTTAAACAGTTCGTAATTATATTTGCATTGACTAAGCTTCATCAAGATAAAGTGCCTAGAGAAGCGGTTAGGGACATTAAAGCCTATCCCACGAAGTAATGCGGGCGAGTCAATTGTACCATTTATTAATTTGATTACGAAGGAAACCCCAAGAACGAATCTACGTTTCTCCAGTGACGGTAGGGATAACAGAAGCAAGCTATTTTTATAGGGTGGAAGAGGGGCAATCGGGTCCCAACCGAAATTCCTAAGGGCAAACAGCAAGAATTGCTTTTGAACAGATTCAATTGAATCTACGTAGCACCTATATGAAGGAGACCACACAACAGACGCATACTCAAGTATAGGTCTAACCAAACACATGTAAAGCCTTTTCGTAATATAAGGATCATCAAGCTCTTTGGACCATCTCTTCATAAAAGCAAGCGCGGACCTAGCTTTGCTTAACGAGGGCTCAATATGCAAATTGAAAAGTAACATATAATCAAATAGAACGCCTAAATCTGTGAACGAATCGACGTCTTCCGACTTGTGCGAATCAATGAAATACTGAGTAATGAATGACTTTGTTCTTGAGAAAGAAAGCTTCTTACATTTATTTAGATTTAGTTTGAGAAGATTCAAAGAGCACCACTTTGAAGATGATGTGGTTGCGATTCTACGGAAAAGGAAGAAAACAGTTTCTCATCATCAGCATACATTAAGATCTCGCTGAATTTAATCACGGAGGGCAAATCATTGATGTATAAATTAAATAAAATGGGTCCTAAGTGGCTAACTTGAGCTACGCCAGACGTCACGGGTAATTCATCCGAGGTAATGAGGTTAAATAAAACCCTGAATGATCTACCATGCAGATAAGAGCTTAACCATTCCACTAAGAAGAAAGGTAAGCCAGAGGCTTGGAGTTTAAAGATCAGTAAGTTACGGTTAACAAAATCAAACGCTTTGCTTAAATCAGTGTATATAACATCTGTGCGAGAGCCACTAGAAAAAGTCTTGAAAACATGACAACTAAACTCTAACAGATTGGTGACCGTAGATCTTCCCTTTCGAAAATTATTTTGGAGAGGAGAAATATACGATTCCATGGAAAAGGCTATATACTGAGCCACAATTCGCTCAAACAGTTTAGGCAAGACACTCAACTTGGCAATGCCTCTGTAGTTCTCTACAAGTTGCCTATTACCACTTTTGTGAATAGGAATAAGGAAACAAGTCTTCCAACACAAAGGGAAAACACCTGAATTGAAGGACTTGTTAAAAATCTTTGAGATAACACCACATAGCTCGCCAGCACAAGATATAAGTACACATGAGGGGATTCCATCAGGTCCAGGCGAACAATTATACTCTACAGAGCTCAAATCTACAAAAACGTCCTTTTCAGATATAACAAAGTTAGGAATTGAAATTAAATTAGAAATCGGATATGGATAGTTTGCTGATAAATCAAAATTGGCAGTTGAAAAGTTCTGCCGGAAGTATTCCGCAACGAGATTTGAGGTTTCAAAATCATCCGAGGACTCGGAGCCATTCAAAGACACATGCGAGGGATTTATGGAGATTTTTCTTTTGAAATTAACGAACTTAAAAACGTATTTAGGATTAGCAAACAAGGAGGATTTGACAAGCTGAAGGTATCTGCGGTAGTATTGACAGTTGAGGGAATTAAATTTATGCCTTGCCACCGAGTAAGCGAAATAATCGAAAGAACCACTTTTCGAAAATTTTTTGAAAACCTTGTTTTTCCTATTTCTATAGCCTGTTTTACTTTTGTGATGCTTTCAACCGACCAAGTCATTTGCCAAAATCTGCGCAGGGTCGCGTCATTGTTAGCTACCGACTCGATAGACTTTCGATAAAATTATTTTTTTCTCTCTTTTGATCTTATAAATACAATACAAACGTTCGAGATTTCAAGCAAAAAGTTTGTTCGGCTAATTAGGACTTTATAATTTCCCAATTACAACCTATAATTTCTTATCAAATAATCTGCTGATAGTGCTCACAATGTTAATACTAAATCCCCCTACCATAGATTCGTTTATAACTCTCAAATCTAATTGTGTCACCAACCGAGAAATAAATGTTTAACTTTGGCAACTGTCGTAAACCAAAAGGGAATTAAATAACAATCGCACATATTTCATTTCTTTGATTTGTTAAATTTGTGTTTTATTATTTTCCGTCTCAACAGTATTTTTATTATCATTGGCCATTTCTTTGAAGTAACTGAAATGAAACTAAGAAATTTAATATTTGTATTTAATGCACTCTTCTCGTATCCTAGATCCGCAAGCCTATTTAAGTTCCATGTCGGAGCTATCATATTATGAATGAACTTTCCTTGAGCAGCTATTTGAAGACAATACGGAATTTTTATATTAAAAATCGTAAAAAATTCAGACCAACAAATGCTTATATGGGCGTATTTGTTGCATTTGATGAAAATCAAAAAACAATTACAAAGCAATTACGCAGAACCACAAAACTAGACTGCGGTACTGTCTACAATAAGTAAACATATATTTTTTGTTGAATACTTGTTCTCATTTTTAACTTCTTGTACTTATGTAAATTTAGCATTAGAATATCTTGTCTGTCCTATTGGACTTTTTCGATTTTTCTTGGCGTCTGCTTTTCTTGGAAAACCATAAAATCGAATCAGTTCGGGTTCCTTACAGCTGCAGCTTCATATATAAGCCACCTTCTACAGTAGTTGATTGTCGACGATTTTTTGTGAAATTTGAAAAATGTGATCCTAATTTTTCTTACAAAGTTTTTTATATTTACTTCCGCTCTATAATGAAATGAAGTGCTTCGTTTCATTTCAATTTTTAGCAAAATATTAAAACTGAAACACGGCCTTATATATAAGATGAAGAATGAGCTCAGCATGTTAAAAAAAATTAGAAAGAACCAAAGGCATTTTATAGCAAGTTTAAATAGATAAAAGGAGAGATAGATAACATATAATCGAATATTGCGTAAAGAAAGTTTTCAAATAGTTGGATACAGATATATAGATAAAAAATTGTAGTTACAAAATGCAATACGTGCAGTTGTGTTTTTTTTCCTACAAATATATATATATATATATCTTTTCTTAAAAAAGTTGTCGTATTGCTCAAAAAACTTTGGAGAATCGATCCGAAAATGGGAATATAATATAGTAGGAATGAGTCTCTCTTACTCTTATAGTAAGACGTAGTGGCAACCACGGTTTTCCTGAACATTAAAACAGAAAAATCTAAAAAAAGTAAATTGAATGTAATAATTATTTGGCATTTGGACATTATAACTTTCATTTGCAAAATATGTTAAACAACAAAGAAAATTAAAAACATTGTAAATAACAAGCAGGCTTTATTGCAAAAGAAACGAGTGGTATATGCTTTTTTATGAGTAGCCATTTGTAGATATGTTTGTATACATACTAACATTTGCGAACATACGGAAAAAGATACGTTTATAACAACCAACAAAAAAATTGTTTAACGAAAAGGAATAAAATTTGGTTCCCAAATAAAAAAAAGGAAAAAAGGGTTTTAGTGTAACTTGTTCTGAACTAAATTAAAAAAAAAAAATAAGTGGTAAAAATATTTACAAGATACGTGCATCCATATGTGTGCATGTCTGGGATCGATATATGTATATTACATTTCATAATTCCTAAGATTTACACAAAAAGAAGAATATAAAAAAAGTAAATATTTATTTTAGCTATTTAAGCATAAGCTGCTTCAATCTGGTAAGTTTAATTAAAACTCTTAAGAAGCTTCTTCGACGGCATCAATAATATTTTCGCCATCTTCAGAAAGGAGATGGAAAAAAAATTTTTAATATACATGCGCTTATAAAAAATGTTCGCATTTGATTCTCTCGGCATGGTTATTCAGTTTTTCCTTTTTCATTCATTACCTTTGTTGATTTCATTCATTAATATCATCGAATGAAACGTTTGACCAAACTTACAAAATGAAACTTATTGAATAGAAGAAAACAAATTAATATAAAAATATCTACTCTGAAGAGAAAATATAAAAAGTAACTTGCATAATTTGGAGGTATATTCCATATCATCGAAATGGAGTTAGGCGCATTAAAATTATTAGATTATTATTAAAACGTGTTTTGAAATTTAAAAACTTGCACATATGAGAACTAGAAGGAGCGATTGGTTCGGTATTATCTTTAAGCTTTCTTATTATATCTTATATGATATTGAAACTATCGTAATTATCTCAATACAATTACATTAAATTTTCCTGCTTTTTATGACATTTTTCGTTCTAACCTCACGAATGTTTTGTTTGATTTCAGATTTAACTGCCAACTGTCTTACCTTTTTGTTGTTTAGCCTTTTACTTGACGTTCCGATAAAAATAACTTTTTGTGGGCAGAAGGATTGTGACTTAAGAAAAAAATTATCTTTGTATAGTCCAAATAGTCTTGACAATGCGCTTGAAAAATGTAAGGCGCTCAACATGGGAAAAAATTAATCCAGGTATAAGAAGAAAATTGAAAGCTTATGTTTGCATATCTGCTAAGCAAATCCTGGTCGTACTAATAGGCACACTTTTTTATATCTGGAAACACATTGGTATAGCTTACTATTAATCCGAATATCAAAATGTGCTAAATTGGAGTAAAAGAACCACAAAGTTTCTATACTTACGTGTTGGAATACAACATATTTTTGGCTCTCGGTTTCCAAATCTGAACGGACGAACTTTTGTTTTGACTTAGAGGTAATTTCCTTTTCATGCCTGACCAAAAGTATTTATTGCCATCAAGATTATCCTTTGTTAATGCTGTTGAGTTGGGAAACGCATTTTCACTTCGTATTAAAATGGCCACTAGCCCGAGTGCGTTTAAAGTGACCATTAAGGCGTATTTAAGGCCTTTCCCTTGATCCAATATTGTTATTATCTACATGTATTTATTACGGATGTTCATAACTGAGGTGCAATAAATATATTGTCTTCTTGGTATGTTAAAATTAATTAATAATTATAATGTGCGGGCTAAGTCAATGGGAATTGTGGCTTATATGGCAAAATAATAAAATGTGATAATTATTCGCAGGAAATGTATGTGAATATTAAGACAAAATTGAGGCCCTTTTTAAGTTAGATTGGGTTGCATAAAGCAAGCTTTGGCTGAAAAAAAGAGTTGTTATTGAGAAGATTTTGAATGGCGGACACAGGGGAAAAATAAAAAACTATCAACAAACAAAGTTAGTTCCCCGTGATGACTCTCTTTTTTTGCTGCAAAGAGATCGAGGAGGTCACTGCATACTTTGGAAAGGCTGAAAGAACTTCTAATACCATAAAGCCCGTCATATCTGAAGATGAATATACTTTGTTATAAATGTGACCACTCATAAGTTAAGTGTTTTGATTTCTCAAGGATTGAAGTAATCCTTTGATAGGCCTTTGAAGTTTAAAGCGGGATTTATTTATTTTATAGAATTGGTTTTGGCGCACGCTATTTCTTTAAAGCCATCGTTTGGTTTTTGAATAATGTGACTATTATTATACAATAAATATATATTTTGCCATTAATAATCATTATTGTTAATTAATAAACTAAATTAGATGAACTGTTTCAAAAAAAATTTTTTAAGCATGCTTTCTAAATTAAGTTTTTTTTCAAGTATTTAACGAAACAAAATTTATGAAAGTATTTATAGTGATTTATTATTTTACACATTTAGGCGATTACTTTTATCATACCCAACAACTTAAATTATTTTTAAAACTTGTGCTTCCACTAGTAGTTGCGTTCTAAAATCGAGTCAGTGCTTTAGACTAAGGGATTTGCTTAAGGACTCCCGACCGAGCATGTTTTATGTTTGTTAGTTTTCGGCCTACACCTCAGCAACGCAAATGCTATTAAATTATGAATTTATATCAAAAAAACCCTCTAAAAGTGGGAAACATTTTCAGTAGCTCCACTGCTATGAAGATATTGAGCTATTGCGCAATCCCTCTGTTTCTGTCAGAATTAAAAAATTTCTTAACAATTTGGATGTTCTTTTCTTTGTTAAATTAATTTAGTTTAATTTATTAAATAATAATAATATTTACTAGTGACAATTAAATTATACAATAATAATCGTTAGGTCCGTTCCTAAAAATTCTATTTTGTCGCAATGTTTTTTCGCAAACACATTATATTAATTATATACATTTTATTGTATATTTTATATTAGAAATGCGACCTGCAATACCGGCTGGTATAAGAGTGGTTCGGGGACCAAATTGGATTTGGCAAAATCAAGGTTTGTTATATTAACGCTCTCAGTAAACAGCTTTGAATTATTACGTACCTAAACATGACTCTTGACTTAAATTCGGTCTAACTAATGTTAAATAATTATTATGCTTAATCAATAAATTAAGCTTTAGTTAATGCATAAATTTAAATGACATCTGGGTATATTTTTTAAAGAATTCAAGATTTAGTCTAAAGGGTTTTCGATTAGTGTTTAACTAACAATCGATATGACCACGTCGTCCGCTTATTGCGAATAAGTTTCCAAAAATGGAGCAAACAGGGTTATGAACAGCATATATTTCGCAAATATGCTCGTTACAGCAAAACAAAAACGTAATTTTCACAAAAATTGTAATATATATTTATTATTCAAATGAAATTCAACTCGACCATTTTTTAGAGGCATATTCAAAGCGGAACCGAATATCTTTCCTATAAATTAACGAAAATTGTCCTAGTTGGTGAATGTTGAAAATTAGTGTTCCAGTATCCATACTTTTTGCTTAAGGTTAAACAACTTGTTTATTTGTTGTTCTTCCATTGTTATAGACGAAGGAGAAGGCCACGTTGGAACGGTTTGCGAAATCGGACGTTTAGGATCAACGCATTCTCCCGAGAATACTGTAGTCGTAAATTGGGATTCTGGCCATAGAACGAATTATCGTGTAGGATATCAAAATCAGTACGATTTAATTATAGTGGATAACGCTCAAGTTGGTAAGACGTTTATACGATATGTTGAATATGTTTGAAGTTTTAGCAATATTACTTTTGAAATCTTCAAGGAGTACGCCATTCAAACGTAGTTTGTGACGGTTGCTCTAAAGGCGGTATTGCTGGGATTGTGTTCAAATGTGCACAGTGTCCAAACTACCACCTATGTTCGTTCTGTTATGGAGCTGATTTTCATGATAAGGATCATGCATTTATTCGATATACTACGCCAACTTCATTAGGGTAAAGATGTTTATCGTAACCGTTTAACAAACTGCGTATTTGTAGTTATATTGTTCGTACGCTTTGTGTTTCAGTGTACGAGTTCCACCCAGGAATGGAGCCAAACGTATTCAACTAAAAGGTATATTCGTTGGAGCAAAGGTTGTTCGTGGGCCGGATTGGGAATGGGGACAACAAGATGGAGGTGAAGGTAAATAAATTGCTAATTTCGAGCGGAGGTTTGTGAATATGAATTCAAAGTTTGCAACCTTGGAATGTATTCAAAAGTCGTTGTTTGTTTGAAAATCTAGTTAACTACATCATCATTTCATAGCGTTTCTTTCAAAATAACTTATCGTTAAATATTCATTCACTATTCAGCTAGCGTACGAATTCATTACAGAGATGTACTGAGAATTACATATATAAAAATTGATTTATAAAAATATACATTAGCGTTTATAAGAAAATTTTATATGAAATTAAATTGCCTTTGTTATTTGAACTGCAAATTTAGGCAAAACTGGCCGTGTTATTGAGATTCGCGGTTGGGATAATGAATCTTGCAGAAGTGTGGCGAACGTTTCTTGGGTTTCTGGTTCAACTAATGTGTATAGGCTGGGACATAAGGGCAACATTGATTTAAAATATGTGGTACCTACATCTGCTGGTTATTATTATAAAGATCATATGCCCGTATTAGGTATGCACACTGTAATTCTTAAAAACTATTCCGGTGAAAATCATTCACAAACGTACGTATACGAGCACAGGTCAACTTGAGGAGCAACAGCCGGTCGTTGCCACAATTAAGCCAATGTTTTCAGTAGGGGATCGAGTAAAAGTTTGCTTGGATGTAGATGCCTTGATTAAACTACAGCAGGGTCATGGTGGTTGGAATCCTCGTATGCTTGAACACCTTTCTAAATTAGGAACAGTTCATCGTATAACCGAAAAAGGGGACATCCGGTAAGTAATTTATATATTGTCGGAAAAAAAACCGATAATTTTATATAACTTGTTTCTTCTATTTTTCTTTTAGAGTACAATATGAAAGCTGCCCAAATCGTTGGACTTTTCACCCAGCCGCCTTGGTGAAAGTTGTTTCATTTCGTGTTGGGGATTTGGTAACTATAATAAATGATGCCGCTAAAGTGCAACAACTGCAAAAAGGACATGGTGAATGGATAGAACTAATGCGTTATGTAAGTAACATTTGTTTTTAACCAAGGAACACAACGTTTCCTTAATAATTATTACGATAGGGCTCCATTACATATGTTCTGTAATTGGGTATATCTATTTTTATTTTTAGGCTCTTGGCAAACTTTGTAAAGTAGTGAAAGTGTATTCTGATGGTGATTTGAGAATTGAACAACTAGATGATGGATTTGAATGGACTCTTAATCCAAAGTGTGTTAAATTAGAACGTTCACCATTAGCTACAGCGGCCGAGCGTTCGAACAGTATGATGGATCTGAGCCATCGTCGAACTGATCACGTGATGACACCGTTGTCTGGTTTGTCTGGAACATCAATGGTGGATAAGTTAGTTCGCGAAGCCGCTCAAGGTCATCTGGATTTTGTAAAGCAGCATCTTAACGCTCATCCTGATCACGTTAATGCGATGAGTGGAGGTAAAACATGTATTCAAGTAGCTGCTCATCAAGGCCACGTGGATATAGTAAAATTTTTAATAGATAAAGGTGCTAATGTAAATGTAATTGACAAAGAAGGCGATTCAGTGCTGCATTATGCTGCATTTGGCAATCAGCCGGAAACTATGCGTGTTTTACTTCAGAATGGCGCTGATATCAACTACCTTAATTCAAGCCATTGCTCAGCCCTTCATATATGCGCTCATAAAAAAATTCCACATTGTGTGCGGGAACTTTTAACTTTTGGCGCTGATGTTAATATTCAAGATTCTTATGGAGATACTGCGCTGCACGATGCGATTGGAAAAGAAAACTCTGAAGTCGTTGAGCTTTTGTGCGCTGCTCGCAACCTTGATTACACAGTGAGAAATAACAGAGGTTTTAATGTTCTTCATCATGCTGCACTTAAAGGCAACGCTTTGGCGGCGCGTTACATACTGCTACTCGCTCGTCAGTTAGTTAATGTGAAGAAGGATGACGGATTTGCCGCTCTTCATTTGGCTGCTCTTAATGGACATGCGAACGTGGTAGAGGTATTAATTAAGATTGGGCAAGCGGAAATAAACATACATAATAACCGTCGTCAAACACCTTTTCTATTGGCGGTTTCACAAGGACATTCAGGAGCTATAGAAAAGTTGGTGAAACTAGGATGTGATATAACCGCACGAGATGAAGATGGAGATAATGCCATGCATTTGTGTGTCATTAAAAAAACAAATCTTCTGCAAGCAGCTGAACCTGTGAAAAAAGATTCACCCGAAATTTATGCGATTTATGAAAATTTATCTTATTTGACTGAGGATCGCTTAATGTACGCGATTCTTTGCTATTTGTCTCGCCTTGGCTGCCGAATTGAGCAAAACAACAAGGGAGTTGTCATATTTGAATGGATAACAGACCAAAGCTTAAAGAAACTAATTTTAGGATATCAAAGTACTTTATCTTCAAATGTTCTGCAACCACAAACCCTTAATTCTAGTAGAGAAAATGCGGACAATTTAATACATGGCATGCAGTCGTTAAATTTAAATGAGTCTCTCGATGCAGACACAACAAACAGCTTCACCAATATCAGCGATGATACATCCAGTTTGAATCCAATTCCAAAACAAAATATTCTGTTAAATTTAGCGCTGCGTAAACAGTCACCAAAACAACAAAAAAATGGTGTGCTAAATAACGAAATGCCAACATCGACACCAGACGAAGAATTTGAAGGAGCCGTCGCGATTCGTCAAGGCGAGGGAAGTTTATCTGAGTTACCAAATGTCGCCGAGAAGGACATCGAGAGTGGAATCGATAATTCAATTGGGCCCCGGGAATGCATTGTATGCGACGAAGTCCTCCAATTAATCAAGTTTGAACCCTGCCAACATCAAATTTCGTGTGAAGATTGCGGTAAACGAATGAAAAAGTGCTTGCGGTGTGGGGTGCATATAGAGCGAAGAATTGATGTTAATGGCCGTATTATACCAAATGTTGATACAACAAGTACAGCATCTGTGGATCGATTACGCTATTTAGAAAATAAAATACAGGAATATGAAGAATCGCACTATTGTAGTATATGTATGGAAAGGACACGTGATGTTGCTTTTCTTTGCGGCCATGGAGCATGTTCGCGTTGTGCAGAAACCTTACGTACATGCCACATGTGCCGGAAGACAATATTGAGGAAGATCAATCTGTACTGAGCTATAGCAAAATCAGGCCTAAAAAATTAAAAATTATTAAGTTCGTATCTTCAACACTGATATTTATTAGTTACTTGTATTTAATCATTTATAGCTTACGAAGAAAACAGCAGGCACTTTCAAATACCTAAATTTAATCCATTTGGAAAATTGCAAAAGAAATGTTTTTAGACATGTTGTCAAGGAAATGCAATAAGTGCACATATGTATATGTATTTTGTCATATAATCACTTGATTGATATAACTAAAGTTTCATTATTGTAAATCAAATTATGTATATAAAAATAAATTTCGGGTTATAAATAGAGGTTTGAATTAAAATACTTGCTTATGCGTAATTTTTATTGATGGTAATCACCAGTATTTTTACTTTACCATAATTTTCATTTTAAAGCCATCGCTCTACAGTCCCAGAAATAGGAAGCGATCTAGATAATTTCAAATGATTACAAGATAAACGGTCTAGCCATCCTAATCTATGTTTTCAGTGTAATTATTGCCAAACTCCTGAAATTTGAAATAGAATGTTAAAAAATGGTATTTATTTTCTCAGTTTCACAAACGAATACCTGAATTTTAGTGGAATACAGCATCAACATGCCCGTATACATATTACTCACAAACAGATAATCGTGTCGAGTAAAAGTACATTTCTTTGTTAATATCGAGGTCTGTTTAATTTCAAAAGCATTTTTTCTTGCTTTCAGCGAATTAAGCAAAAAAAAATATAGTAAAAAGTAGTTTTTCAATATGCGTATACATCCATAAGTTAATCAGTTCAGTTGAGAAGAATTAATTAAGCCAATGTAATAGGAATTATTTGTAGAAGATATTTATGTATATTTATAGCTAACGTAATATTTTTAAGATAACGAAAAATCTGAGGCCATTATGTATATGTACGTACGTATATAAAATATATTTTATAATTATTAACAACCTTTCTAATGAAATTCTTTAAAATTTTAACATTCGTGAGTTATAATTTCATATGTATTTGGTTTCTGTTGTTAAAACTAAACTGCATGGTAATGTGTCGCACGACGGCTCCAATAAACGCATTCAAGTCATTTCGCTGCGTGGTTAAAAATTAGACGACGAAGTTTGTGAAACATTTACAAAACACTGAAATAAAAAAAAACCCAAAAAATTTTAAAATTGTAAACTGATTTTATTTGATAATAAAAATAATAAGCATTTATTTCATTTATTCGTAAGCAACATCTTAGGGTATTTTTTGGTCTTAGGATGGTTTTCAATTGGCCGTAATAGTTAAATCCGATATGTTATGTATAATAGTAGACTGCCAACTTGTATGTAGTAAAGTAAGAATAATGTTGCAAACTTTGGTTAAAAAAAGAATATTTTTAATAAGATGTAAAAATGACAAATGGTAAGAAATCAACGAAAATTAAAAGCACAGATTCGTTTTTATAATAAAGCAGATGACGTTTGCTTTTTCTTGTAAAGAGAGAAGTAATCATACAAATTGGAAAGGCTCAAAGAACTGCTAATATCATCGAGCCTGTAGCATCTAAAGGCGAGGTGTTCGGCAAACTGGCTAGTAGTGCAAACTTCTCATATATCATTTGCTCTTGCGCGAATCATTTTTAAATATACTTGATGATAAGTGTAGCCGCTGAACAGTCTGTAAGGCATTTTGATCTGCCAGGAATTAAAGGATGCCTTTGAAACGAGTTCAAAGATAAAAGTGGGGTTTATTTGATAGAAAAGGCGATTAGCTTTAGTTTTTTTTTTTTTCTTTTTGGTATGTTGAATGGAAATGGACTAAGCCAATAGATTTGTGGCTTATATGTCCAGATAATAAACTGTCGTAATTTTTGGTCACAATTATGAACAAAACGTAACAAAAAAAAAGAGCGGCCTTAATAACTGGAGCCAGCATGTTAAATGTAATTGTGTGTGTGTGTGTGTAATTGTGCTTGGTGAGTTCTTGAAAGTCAAACAGTGTTGCAAACTTTGGCTCAAAACGAAAAGGAATGCTATGGTAATAGAAGATGATTGAACGCAAAAACGAAAGAAAAAAAAGGAAAGAAGCGGAAAAAAAAATTCTAAAAGGATAAATTAGGTTTTCTAATAAAGCAAGTTAGTTCCCCGAGATGAGGTACATTTTTGCTGCAAAGAGATCGAGGAGACAGCCATAAGAATCTCTAATGCCATCAAGCCTGTGACATCTGAAGATTAGATGCTCTGCAGACTCAACAACATTGCAAACTTCACAAACATCACATGGTATAGCGCGAATCATTTTCAAATAAACTTTGTCATAAGTATGACCACTCATGAGTCTATAAAGAATTTTGATTTCCCAGGAATTAAAAGAAGATACAGAAAAGGGTTTGAATTGAAATGTGGGATTTAATTTGTAGAAAAGGCGATTGGATTTGACGCGCGCGATTTCTTTAAATTCGTCGTTTAGCTGTTGAAGGATGTGGTTGCGAATTGCCCGTGTTGCTTCATTGGGAGTGTATTTGATGGACAAAATTGTCCCATCAACACGAGCTCTCCCTGCGTGAAAGTCGGCTTTTACATTTAAAAAAAAAGCCGCAGTGACCAGGTACCCAAACGAGGTGACACTCATGCACTTGAGATCCATGCAACATCTTATGAATATCAAACACATATTGATTTTCTGCATCTCTTTTATTTATTAGAAGTAGAGCTGACCTGTTGTCAGAAAAAATAACAAACCTTCTGATACCAACCTTAATAGCATGTCGAATGGCGACCAAGTCGAGGAAAGTTCCTCTTCAACTTTAACTCGATGTACTGTTTCAGATAGACGTTTCACGTCCGAGAAGCCAGATACATTATGTCCGACGGAACCGTCGGTGGCATATATATCGTAGCCGTTTTTGTAATACAAAAGGAGCTTTTCTTGGCATAACAACCTCGTACAAGAGAAGTTGACATTTTGTTTTGAGGTAGAGATCGGTTCGAGAATGTTCATGAAGACTCTGCATTTGCTGGTAATGAAATTCAAGGGGGGAATTGAATCTAACTTATCAAAAATATGACGAAGTTTTTGATAGCAAAAAGTATAGCTGCAAGTGACAGTATCACTGAGAGATAAAATTTCCTGAAAAAAGAAAGGATTTATCATCTTGACTTTAATTAACTCTTTGGCAGTGCAAAAAAGGGCTCTTTCGGAAACCGGCCATTCACCAGATATGATATTGAGAATATGTTGAGGAGTTGAGGGGGTCAGTCCAGTACAACGCTTCCACATTCGTTTTTCAAATGCTTGTATACGTTTCTCAATATATTTTGGGAAATTGCAACATGTGGAATGTCCAAATTCAATTTGTGACCTAACTAGACATTTGTAAACGGTCAAAGCATTTTTGGGAGGCAATCCTGCCTGATTGTTTGTCATGAGTTTGATGATGTTGCATCCAGACTGACAACCTTTAAACGCCTTTTCATTATGCCCACGAAGGGTTAAGCTGTCATTTAAAAATCTCCCAAGAAATCGAAAAGATTTTACCTGATTAACTTGGGTACCTTTGATAAGAAGTCTGATTTCACGTTTAGAACCTTTAGCAAAATAAATAGTGTTTGTCTTGCTGGGGTTAAAATATAAATTAAGATCAGCGCATGCATCGAAAAACAAGTTCGCTTTCATCGAGAGGTTGTTGACAGCTGCTGCAAAAGATGAGTCCGCAGATACAATTACAAAATTGTCTGCATATTGAAAAATGTGAGTTTTGTCATCTTGAAGATCATGCAAAGAAGCTGAGTATAAATTGAAGAGTATGGGGCTTAAACAAATGCCTTGTGGGATACCACCGCATATTTCAACTTTTTCGGTACCCATCACCAACACACGCTTAAAAAATTAAGTATCCACAGCGGCATTTGAACAGGAATCGAAAAATTTAAGAGAATTCTACCAAGCTTAATCAAGTTGACACAGTCATAGGCTTTGCTGATGTCCAGGAAGAGCATGACAACCATTTTCCCTGCTTTTTTTAAGCTGGCTATGAGCAAACACAGTTCATTAACGCACATATTCGTAGATTTGCGTTTTTGATAGGCGTAAGAACGAGCTGGAATAATGTTCTCAGTTTTCAGGAAAGCAGTTAGTCTCTCCTTAACCATGAGGTTGATAGTCTTTATGAATACAGATATCAGTGAAATTGGTCTGAAGCTACTTAAATCATTTAAGTCTCTACCTGGCTTGGGAATGGGCACTATTTTGATGCAACGCAAATCAGAGGGTATAAAGTTGATAGACGAGCAGTTTTTAATTCCATGCAAAAGAATGCTAAAGCTTCCTCCAGACAGTGCTCTGAGCATGTCATACTTGACTCCATCACAACCTGCAGCAGTAGCTCTCTTTCTGGGATGTAAAACATACATTAGCTCATGCAATGAAAAGGTTGTGTTACTTACTAAAAGGAATTGAAGGCATTGTAATCGGATTGACAATTGGAATGTAGCTCTTGAGCGTATCTAAGTATTTTTTATTATCATGGTCATTCCATACAGCACAACCGCTTAATTTTCGACTAGAATGTCGATGACCATTGATATGATTCCAGACAGAACGCGGGTAGCCGTTACCACATAGCTCTATGCGTCCTTTTCGTCTTTCTAATTGCAGACCTGAATTCTTTCAGTGTTTTCATAGATTCAATACAGTTGGCTGGATTGGCATGTTTACTCATTTTTTCTCTTGCAGCTTGATATTTGCGGAAAAGTGTTGACAGGGAAGAGTTCCACCAAGGTTTAGGTGAGAAGGACTCAATGTCAGGAAAGTTGGTTCTAGCAGACCTGATCACAGACTGAAAGACACTTTGAATTGATGATAAATCAGAAGGGAGATCAACTTTAGACAGACGGTCCATAAGGAAGTTGCATGAAATAAAATTTTCTATTTTCTTAACGAAATAGTTACAACTGTGGAATAAAACGGGTGGAGTGCTGACTTTTGCCAATGGAAACATTGGACTTGTTCCAGTTGGAAGATAAAATAGTTGAATTCGAGAAAGTTAGATCCAAGATACTGCTGGTCGTGCGACCGCTCCGGTTACAGTGAAAGGTAGTATTGCCATTATTTAAGACACTGAAACTGCGGGAATTGATGGCATTTACAAGGATCTTGCCTTTTTTGGTCGAGACTTGATCACTATAAAGGCGATGTCTTGCATTGAAATCTCCAGCTAGAATCACATTTTGTTCACCGACAAGAAAGTCGCATAATTTCTAAGGGTGTGAAGTTATATTTAAATATAACTAGCAAAGACACAAACTAAATTTTTTTACAGAGCTCTGTAAAGCCGTTAACAGAATTCTGTTAAACGAAGTCTCGGAGGGATTTAGCTCAAAATACAAGTAAAGTAGAACTTTTCGCAAATTTTTTTGCAAATTCTTATAAACAAAACATGACTTTATGTAAATTAACTAATATTCGAAGCCAAAACTTTTTTACACTATGCCATAAATGAGGTTGAAAAAGCGAAAGTTTACGGAGCTACTGTGACCAAACCA